TGGCTGGATGGAGCCTCTCTGCTCCGGTGGTGAGTGAGGGGTGGGGGTGGGATCCTTGTGGAGACTCCCGGCTGGTAGGTTTCTCTGTTCCTGGCCATCCGCTGTTCTGCAAACCGGTACCTGGTGATCTGCAAGCGGCCCCCTGTGACTCTGGGGCTCCGGCAGCCCCCGCCGGGCCGGCTGGCCAGCAGCTTGGTGCACTGCCGTGCGGCCAGTAAAGGTTGGGGGAGGGGTCTTCGCTTTTCTCTGTTCTGAAATTCTTCTTTTCCTCTCTCTCTTTTTTTGTTATTTTCCGCCTCTGGTTTTTCTCTGAGTGTTCGTCTTTTTGTTGTTGTAGGTCTCTTGGGGAGATTAAGCGTTGGAACTCGAACTCTCTTTTTGGTTGGAGAGAGCTGTGGCGTTTCCCTACTGCCCTGTCGCCATCTTGGTCCCCCCTCCCAAAAATAAACTTTTAAATATTACAATGTACTTAGATGAAATTTCAGGAAATTGCTACTGGCAGGACGGTGGAACAGTGTGTGAGCTGTGGCTTACTTAGAAGAGGCAATGAATAGCCGGGCGCTGGTGGCTCACGCCTGTAATCCTAGCTACTCAGGAGGCTGAGATCTGAGGATCGCGGTTCAAAGCCAGCCCGGGCAGAAGAGACCGTGAGACTCCTATCTCCAATAAACCACCAGAAAACCGGAAGTGGCGCTGTAGCTCAAGTGGTAGAGCGCTCGCCTTGAGCTGAAGAGCTGAAGGACAGCGCCCAGGCCCAGAGTTCAAGCCCCACGACCGACAAAAAAAAAAAAAAAAAGAAGAGGCAATGAAGTTATTCATTGACTTCTAGGAACTTGGATTTTAGTTCCCATGTAGGGATGCGAGACAAGACATATCTTGTCCAAGCAAGTTGGGTCTGAGATACCACCTACCTAAAGTCAGAATTCTTATAAAGAGGATAAATTAAAAATAGATCTTCCCCCAGTATAGGTTGATGACAAAAAATACCCTGATGATCTCTTCTTGGGCTCTGGATTGAAAAGTCTGGCCTGTGAATGTATAAACATGTTTTTGCCTCACCTCATGTTTTTCAGAGTTAAAATTTATATTTCTCAAGCAGAGAAATAGCAGATGTAGCTGACGGGAAGAAATTCAGATTCTTTTTGGAGAAAATACCCTATATGATGCGATCTAGATGAAGATAAGCACATAATCCCACAGTACAATGTACATGAAGTTCTGTGAATAGAGTCAATAACTTGCATGATTAGTTTTCTTTTTCCTTTTTTTTTTGTCGGTCATGGGGCTTGAACTCTGGGCCTGGGTGCACGCGTCCCTCAGCTCTTCAGCTCAAGGCGAGCGCTCTACCACTTGAGCTACAGCGCCACTTCCGGTTTTCTAGTGGTTGATTGGAGATAGGAGTTTCACCGTCTTTCCTGCTGGGCTGGCTTTGAACCGCGATTCTCAGATCTCAGCCTCCTGAGTAGCTAGGATTACAGGCGTGAGCCACCGGCACCCGGCTGCATGATTAGTTTTCTAAAAATTTAATAATAGAGTAATTTGGCTGAGTTTTTATACTAAGTATATTAAAAATAGTTAAAAGGATAATGAAATTTACTACGAAAAAGAATAGATTCCAATAGAGTCTAACAGAACTTGCAAGAACTATTGAAGCAATTAGTAACCTAGAACATAGTTAAAGAAGCTAGCCAATATAAAACAAAACACAAAGATACAGAAATAACAAATGGAACAGAGTTTAAGAGGCATAGTAACTACACCAAAAGAGTTTAAAATTCATCTTTCAAAGGATACAGACTGGATGACAGAGACATTCATTTAGGTTATAATGTCTGAAAAGTTCCCAGAGAGGAACAAAGACATTAATCCTCAGTTTCAGGGAGCATGGTTCCAAGGTGACTAAATAAAAAAATAAATATATATTTTGTCACATTGTAGTAAAATTATAAATTCAAAAAAGACAAACAATAGTTTATCTGTAAAGGAACTACAGTTTGTTTGATCATGATAGCAAATAGAAGCCAGAGAACAGGGGATGCATATTCAAAGTGCTGGGAGAAAATGACTGCCGGTTTGGATTTCTGTATCTAGGTAAATTTCTATATAAGAACGATAGTAAATTCATTTTAATAAAATTCTGCAATCATTTATTAGTACCAGACCATCATAGCATCAAAGAAGGGCTGAAACGCAAAAAACCATGGTGAACAAAAACTTTAGTTAAATTAGAGTAAAATTCACTAATACTATTTTTTAAAGTAATTATACTATCTTGTTCAGTGTTTAATAATAATATAGAAGATAATGGGGTACAATTAAAGTAATCTGTAGGAAAAAAATTATTTCCTGTTTCATGACATAATCATAATATAGTTATAGACTGGGACACAGCAGGGTCACAAGTTCTAGGACATTCTGAGAAATTTAGCAAAAGTATCAATATAAAATTTAAAAATGGCTGGGACTATAGCTTAATAGTAAAGGACTTAATTAACATGCATGAAGTTCTATGTTCAATCCAGGGTGTTGTCAAAAAGCAAAGCTTTTTTATTCTTTTTCAATAATTGCTGTAATGAAAAAATAATACTTTTATACTTTTATACCATTTAATGTTGTGTACTTTTTGTATTCTTTCATGTAACTTTTTTGTCCATATTTAAAGTATGAATTGTATATTCTACCATTTGGATTTTAAAATGAATGTTTTGGCATATTTGTTTCTAGGTATTTTCAGAGATACATACTTAGCCAAAATTGCTTTATTTTTAAGAAATCACATTGAGGAAAACAGCTTAGAAAATTATTAAGTAAGCAGAAAAACTGAGCAGAAAGCTACAAGTTTCCCAGATGCTGCAATCTTACACACTATCAATGGCACATTTGTAACAATTAACTAACTTAACACATCAATATTATATAGCTTTCATCTATCCACATATGCGCGCACACACACACACACACACACACACACACACACACACACACACACACACACACACTGCTTTGCTTGCCTTTTGGTATTCCTCATCCTGTGGATTTTTTACAAGTGGATAGTATGTGTATCTATTAGTATTAAATAGTATTATTTACTGTTTACAAGGAATTAGCTACAAAGAGGGGATCAGCATTCTGAAGAATGCCCTAGGGTTGAGGTAGACTACTCTAGAAAGAAACAAATTTGGAAGGGAAGCTCCCTAAATTGGAATTTGGGTCTAGTTAGCAACAAGAGCTTTTCCACAGTTGCCTCGCCAAGGCTGGCAGACATGGAGACAAAGGCTTGGACTGACAACCTGGAATTTTCGGATGGGGAACCATTGGGTAGGCAGGGGATCCCCCACTGGCATGCAAGTGCTTCAGGAGTGGTTGATGAACAGGCAGCCTCTTCCACACAAGCAAGCAGAGAACTCTATTCCTGTTTCCAGTAGGGTACTAGTGGACCAAGGATTGTAAGACTGTTCCTTTTGTTTTGATGATTTTTCAATTTTAATTCTTTAAAAAATTGTTACAAAGGTGATATACAGAGGGTTAAGAATGGTCTTGGTTACTACTTTATAAATGTTCCAAAAGAAGGGTCTGTAGTGAAATCTAAAAACAAATTGTTCTAGAGAGTAAAATATTGAGAGAGGGAGAGAGAGAGAGAGAGAGAGAGAGAGAGGTCTGCATAAGTAGGGACAAGGATTAGATAAATTGCTATTTGGTAATAGAATAGATATGGTGATGGATGGTAGTATAGATTGTATGTTTGTGTCTTTCCCAGATTTATCTGTTGAAGCTCTAATACTTAATGTAGTAGTATTTGGAGACTGGCCTCTAAGGAATTAAGGTGAGTTGAAGACATGGAACTTGCTCCTTCACTTTTTCTCACTTTCCACATACTCTGAGGAAAGACTTTGGAAGAACATAGCAGAAGGTGGCCATTTACAAGCCAGAAGGGCAATCCTCACCTTGATCTCAGATTCTCTGCCACTAGAATTATAAGAAAATGGATTTCTATTCTTTAAGCCATATAAGATATTTTCTTAGAGAAGCCTAAGCTGATTACCCTATTTGGGTAAATTCATTATGATGTAGGAAAAAGTCTACATATCAATGGTGTATTGTGGTCCTTTTCTCGAGTTGCAGTCTGGGAAGATTTGGAGTCTGTATTTGCATAGCTATAAATTGTTCTCTTAGATATTTCATCACAGCTATGCATTTTCAGAGGTTTCAATCCATCACAACTGTTTCTGGGCCTGTGGTTAGGCAAAACATCGTGGAGCTTATGGAGGAGGAGGCTAGGAGGTTATCACCTCATGTAAGATAGGAAGCAGAGTGGACAGAGAGGAACCCTAGACAATACACAACTCCCAAGGAAATGCCTCCAGTGGCTTACTTTCTCCATCTAGTCCTTACATCCTAAGGTTTCCAGCACTTCCTAAACTAGTACCACAAGCTAATGACGAGCAAGCACTCAACACATGAGCCTGTGGATGATATTTTATATTTAAACTAACATTCTTTGGTTCCCAAAGACTCATTGCCATCTCATAGTGCAAAATGCATTAGTCATCTGTATGAGTCCTCAAAGTCTTAACTGCTTAAGATTGTACAGTAGTCTAAATTTAAAAATTTCTTCTAACATTTCAGGCAAACTGAACCATGAATCAAAAAGTCATATACTTTCAAAATATAATGAAACAGAGTAAACATTTCCATTCCAAAAGGGAGGAGTAGAAGAATGGAAGCATCAGACCAAAGCAAGACCAAAACAAAGCAGGAAAAACACTATATACCCTGTGGCCTCATGTCTGGCCTGCATAGCAAGTGGTAGCGTGCTGTGAGCCCCCAAGGGTTAGAACCTGGTTCCTACAGCCTTGCCATTAGTAATGTACGTGGATTTTTTTTCTACTTTTTGTAGCTTTCCTTTGCAGATATCCCTTATTCCTGGTATGGTTAATTTACTGGCATCTCTTTTGCAGCTTTTGCTTTACCTTCATAGTTTAATGCAGCATCTTCTCAGGGGTCCTCTGCATACATTCTAACCCTGCTACCTAGTGCCTGGCCAACCAGGTGTTTATTGGAAATCTCTTTGAAAGCCTCTGTAACATTGCTGCTCTTCAAGTCTGTAGGCCTGCAGAATCATCATAGTGATGACAGCAAGACCTGCTTCCAGTTTGAATGGTGGCTAGAATCCTTTGGGCCACAGCTGCAGTGTCTTCTGCACTCAGGAGCCCTGTGTCTACGGGGCATCCTGGAGGTCTCTTCTCCAAGCAAAAATCTTTCAATTAAGTGAAAAACCTTCAAAGTCTTTATTCTGGGTTAGATGAGGCATGGCCAACGACTAACTGCCACCAAGGCATCTTTCCTAGCCTCGTAATCGATTTCTTCTTATTACAATAGTTTTTATTATCTTTTTTATATTGTTATCTTTAAGTAGTTATACACAGGGTTCCAGGAGGAGGAAGCTTCTATGTCATGGGGGACAGGAAGCAGAGTTAAATGAGAAGGAGGAGCCCAAGATAGTATAGTTAGTTTCCAAGGACATACTGCAATGATCTACTTACTCCACGTACCTCTGAAAATAGCTATGCTAGTTGGGAATCAAGCATTCAATATATGAGCCTGTGGGAAATATTTCATATCAAAGTCATAACAGAATTATTGTGTAGTCAGGCCCAGACAACAGTGGATCCATGGATACTTAGAGATTTGGTTATTAAGAATCAGCTGTCACCCTAAAGAAATAGTATAGTATAATCCAAATATTTGGGGCAGAAAGATTAACAGAAAGGTGAAACATAAAGTAGAAGGGGGGAATCAAAAGGAAATGTGAAATGATTGAAATGGTTCTATCTCCATGGACATGTTTAGTGAACATTGAACTTACCACGTCACAAAGTTACTTGATACTTTAAACTTTGAGCATGGAACTAAATAGTTGGGACTATTTCAAGATCTAGCTAATTAATAGGATTTTCTTAATCAAATGATTGTTTGGCAAGGGAGAAGGAAATTTCCTCATTAATTTTTCATTCTTTATAATTTATAGGTCTAGTATTTATCCATTCTAAAGTTAAAAATTGTAAAGTTTAGAGAGATTAAATATTTTTCCCAAGATTACCTAACTAGAAAGTGGTAAAGCTGACATCTGAATGTAGGCCTAAAAGATTGCAAAGCATGTGTACTTTTGTACCAATATACCATGTTGTGTAATATGAAAAAGAACACTGGATTGGGTGCTATACACCTGAATTTTAGTCCTAGGCTCCTTTGTTGGTGTGGCCATGATAAAAGTCTTCTTATAGACATGGGTTCTGCTATTCACCTTTCCTTTAATATGATTTAATTTGATAGTTTTCCAGTTTGAGTGTGAACTGATATATCATTGTTTTTAATTTCCATTTCCCTGATTACTATAAGTGGTAGAAAAAAACTTTATTTTTTAAAACTTAAGGCCTTGTACTTGATGATGCTGTACTACTTGAACCATATCTGCAGCTGTTTTGCTTTTTATTTTTCAAATAGGGTCTTATTTTTTTTACCTAGCATGACCTGGAGTATGATCCTTCTAATTAACATTACCCCATAGCTGAAATTAGAATTTGTGGAGTGGTTTTTGCTGCTACTAGTGTTTGAATTCAGGGCCTCACACTTCCTTGATTTTCTTGCTTTGTTGGCCATTACTTTCGCTAGTTAATTGAAGTTTGAATCTTGCAGACTTTACTACCTAGGGCAGTGGCTTTGACCTCAGTTCTCTGGGTTTCAGCCTCCTAAGTAGCTGGGATTATAGATTTGAGCCATTAGTGCTAAATTTGGCTAAGAATTTTTGGGTAATAATTTGTTTCCTAGAAATTGCCTGTTTGTGTCTTTGGTTAGTTTAAATTTGATTTTATCATTTTTATGCAGATTTTCTAATCATATTACAAATTATGTATCTCAAAACAAAACACTATTTCATCATTTCTTATTGTTATTAAGTTGACTCTTGTGAAGACTAATAAATGGTCAAAATACGTAGTCTATTAAGAAGTGTCAGTAAGTACACCCTTCTGTTATTGAGGTCTTTTTTCTTTTTTTATATATACCAGGGTTGGAACCCAGAGCCTTACACATACTAGGCAGGTGCTCTATCAAAAAAAGAAATAACAGAAATACACTTGTTGTGTTCAATGTACATTATGTAAAAAATGAACTAAATGCTGGGCGCTGGTGGCTCATGCCTGTAATCCTAGCTACTCAGGAGGCTGAGATCTGAGGATAACGGTTCAAAGCCAGCCCAGGAAGGAAAGTCCGTGAGACTCTTATCTCTAGTAAACCACTAGAAAACTGGAAGTGGCACTGTGGCTCAAGCGGTAGAGCGCTCGCCTTGAGCTGAAGAGTCCAGGGACAGTGCCCAAGCCCAGAGTTCAAGCCTTATGACTGACCAAAAAAAAAAAAAAAAAAGAACTACATAACTTGAGGGTAGGAATGGGAAAGGTGAAAAAGAGGGAGAGTGATGTCATTGATCAAGATTGTACTTGTAACCTGACTTATGGAATTGTAATCTTTTTGTTTAGCTATTTAATAAGAAAATATTTTAATATCATTAAGGAATGGTCAGAGTAATAGGAAAATCAGGACAGCAAGGCTAGGAATCTGAGAAAATAAATTATTTCAAGGAAAAATAGGGTTATCAACTGTGTCAAATTCTGTAAGATGAAAATTGACCTTTGTATTAAGCAACATGGATGACTTTGACAAGTAGTTTTAGTGGAGGTAGAGGGTAAAACCTAATGAACTAATTTCAAAAGAGACTGAGGAAATCTGAGACAGGAAATGAAGACTCTACTCCCTGATGTTCTTTGGTAGAGGGTAGGAAAGAAATGGCAGGAAGTCAAGGAAGTATAACTAAATGGAGAAGTAGGACAGCTTTGTTTCTAAGATGAGAGAAACAGCAACAAGTATATGAAGTGAAGTAGTCAGGAGAGGGGAAATAACATTAGGGCTGTAGGGCAAGGGAGTTATTACTGCAACAGTCTTGAATATACAAGGAAAGAAGAGCTCTAGGCAATAAATCATTGAACCATGCTTCTTTCTAAAAAAATACCTTCACTTGTCAGATGTTAAGATGATATATGAGAAAGTACTTGATAGTCTTGTAAAGAACTCTATATAAACATAAGCTATAAGAATACAAATAGAGTCTTTAACACTCATAAATGGTCAGTTGCTTTATCTCTAGTAGCTTTTGTTTATTTGATCTCAGCCAGGAATATATTACTGGCTTGTCTTCAGCTGTAAATATTTCTACACAGATGAATTTGCTAAGCATCAACACATCTCACCCAGAGTACTTTGGGATTTTCCCATACTGGGAATTTGATATTTAACCTTTCGACCACCCAACAAGCTAAAAAACATTACCTCTTTTATCTTCTTAGACTCCTTTAAAGAAGCCTGAAGCCATAGGTGAAAGCCAAATGTAATATTTCTATGAACAACTTTTTAGTTACTTGAATAGAAACTAATGTATGTCCCATAAGATTCTTGCCTATAATAGTCTTATATGTAAATTGAGGAGATTATTTGTTCTTTAATGTTTCATAAAATGTTGATATAATTGCCATTTCCAGGTAGGAGCTAATACCAAATGTTCAACTGCCTACATGAAATGAAATTAAATATACCTTAGAATATTTTTTAAGATTTAGTATTAACTGGATTTAATTAAAACAATGTGTCTTAAGGAAACTAATAATGATGAGTATTCTGAATAATTTGGTTAGTACAAATGATTTTTGTTTTTCTTCCATTTTTCATTCTCATTTCTGTTTCTTGGTTGCTAAAAGGTAATGCATTATACAGTGTTCAGAGAATTGTTTCAGGTTACCTCTCTATGTTATTATCAGCATGTAGGCATCTGCTTCTCTAATTGTCTAGTAGTGAATCCTTTATCTGGCATTTAATCTTGCCTCCCTGGGAAAACCAGACCTTACCACAGAATAAATTTTCACCTCCCTGACCTGAAGTAACATGAGCCTATGTTTTGGCAGTGAACCTTTGCTCTGTTATTCGTAGGTAGGATAATGATGTACTCTGTTGCCTGAAGGTCCTACTTCAGTACCTTAAGAAGAAACATCTAAATACTAGTTGCAAATGTCTGCATTTGGAAATTCCAGGCAGGTAATTTCACGGACAACATTTTTTTTTCTTTTGAAAAGGTGAGGTAATTTTTTTAAATCAACTTTTATCATTTTTACCACTTCTTAAGCTTTTCATCTTCCGTCTGTCAGCAGGACCAATAGGATCTACAGCTACATAAAAGTCATAATTTTTAATAAGTAATGTGTACTATTTCACAGATTGATTTGGAATTTTTTCTACCATGTAAATTCTCCATTGTTATAAATAACAGAAGGTATGCAACACTTTTTGATAGAAATAATTCCAGTCATTAGCAAAGTTTACTACTTCTAAAACATACTGTAATCATATTTTATCTTAAACTTAACAATATCTGTGTTTTCCTGTTCTGCAAAAAATTAGCGCTATAAAATTCTTAAGCTTTCTAGTTATAATCGTTGAATTACTTTTAGTTTTTGCTACAAACTGTGTAGTTTCATTATCTTGAAGTTTAATGCTATTTTACTTTTAGAGTAATCTTATAACTTTAACCAAAGAAATGTAGCTAGAATGTAAAATGTAAGGCTATATACATTATGTGTTTTTTCAAAAAAAATACTGTATGCTGTTTCTTTTACTTAGAGTTTATTGGATATTTTCAGAGTAGCAATCTATCATAAAATTGTGTTTTTTCAAAAAAATACTGTATGTTGCTTCTTTTACTTAGAGTTTATTGGATATTTTCAGAGTATCATAAAATTGTGTTTTTTCAAAAAAATACTGTATGTTGCTTCTTTTACTTAGAGTTTATTGGATATTTTCAGAGTAGCAATCTATCATAAAATTTAGTAATAGTGTGGTTTTATGAAGAAGTTGTTGCTCTTGTATCTGTAATTGAATGAATTTGGTTTTTGTAAATTAAGCTATAGGCAATAATGGTAATTATTGTTCAGGTTCCCCTGGGTATGTGGAAAGGTCTGTGGTGAAGGAGCAAAAGACATCTGTTTATAATTGATGTCTTTAACCATTCAAAGACAGAGAACTACACATAACTTTTCCCTTCCTTCCTTCCTTCCTTCCTTCCTTCCTTCCTTCCTTCCTTCCTTTCTTTTTTTCTCTCTTTCTCTCCTTCCTTCTTTCCTTTCCTTCCTTCCT